GAACAAGATCTGTTTGCAAGTGTATGGATAGCCTGGAAATACACCAGGACACACAGTACAACAGTCTGAAAGACAGTATTTCTGTTATTTTAATCTTGATATTTACAGGAGGAAGTCAGAGTTTTGCCACTTTAAAACTTTTTACCATTTTTTGCACGGAAGTGCTTCAGGGCCTAAACTGAGCTTTGAAGAGAATAAACTATTCCCCAAAAAATGTTTTGGATGCTCTGTACTTCCTAAGTTTGCCTGAAAGAAGTAACAGCTTGATTTCTAGTTATATACAATTAAAGATGAATCAATGTGAACAACGGGCATCTTCGCACTATGCAGAAAAGAGCAGCGCTCAGGGACAGTCGCTGTCTCCCAGGCAGGGCTGGCAGTCACGGCCCCAGCAGCCAGCTTGAAGGGCATGTCTTTCTCAAGCAGAGCACAGACATCCAGTCCAGCCCTATCTAAGCAGTTACATTCCTGTAATGCACGTGTTCTTGCTAGGGGCTTGAAAGGAAGGAGTTCACTCACAGCCGCAAAGAGCTGATCTCATTCTAGCAAGCCTTGTCCCATATATGACACTTTCCTGCAGTGCCTCTCGTTCCTCTGCTGTTTCAGGTGCCACCTCTGCAGCCACCCCCGTGGTCCTCGCCCTGGGGCTGGCAGCACAGGAGCAGCAGAGGAACCACAGTGGCAAGATGCAGGACAAGTCTGTGCTGCAAACGATGGGGTAATGCAGAGACACTCAAGCTAACTCTAAACGAGGTAGTTGAATGAGTATGAAGAGAAGTCAAGCCATGACAGCAGAGAGTTCATTGTGGGTTAATTTGCTCTGCCTTCCTGGTGGGCCAGATGTATGCTTATGAATATTAACTCTTAAAACTACATCGAGAATGTAAACAGAGGACAGAACATTTTCATGGCCTGCTGTTCTCCTTTCCCTGCTCCCAGCATGGTACGGTATATACCACAATGCAGCTGCACAGGAAAAGAAAACAGGATCATTTTCATGCACTATATACAACGCATTCACAATTTCAGTGTGGAGGCTGCCTACTTGTTTAATGCATACACATGCTCCCAGGGAGGCAGGCGGTTCTGCAGATAGGTCACAGGAGTCAGAAAAATAGAGTTTGATTCCTGATACTAGGAACATTTTGAAAAGTCACTTTATCCTGTTTCCTCCCCCCCACTTCTGCCTTATCTCATTATATATGTAATGCTTCTAACCCACTCACTGTTGATTTTTTCTTCAGAACCTAAACATATAAACATAAGTTCACCAAGTTAAAAACTAAAACTAAAGGAAGTGCTTCCAACATACCATGCCACTGAGAGCTGGATTTTCTTTAGAATTGGTCTCTGCATGGCAGTTTTGTGGCTTTAGGTCTATACTGGTAAAACATTCTCAGTATGTCAATACACGAATCTGAGTGAATACAGAATGACTAGCAAATGTCTTTTCCATACTCTGTAAGAAAGATCCATTAGTCCAGAACCAATGCCTCTTGACCTATCTGTACTTGTAATCAATATACCACATCAACAACCCAGCCATCTGCTCATTACGTTTGTGCACATCTAGGTGAATGGGTAAAGAAAATTACATGTTTGGTCCAAACTAAGTAACTAATTCTAGTCCAGAAACCACGTAGCTATGCTAGTGTGCTGCTCTGCTCCGATTAACGTGTGTCCTGCTGGTGGCTTAGGTTATGGCTCTCTCCCAAAATCACTTGCCATAAAGCCATTATGGCTCACCATAATGAAACTGAACAGCTTCCAGTTTAGAAGTGGCTTGCATCTGGACAGCCCAGGAAGCCATCAGGACTGCCTGCAACCCTATGCATACACAAACTCTCTCAGTTGATTTTGAATAAAGTATTAGAACTGCACACGATGTAAAAAGCAGGGCAATTTGCTTCAAATTATTAAAAGGTGTCTCAGTGCAGGACTCTGGGTATTTCAGAAAGCCTTAAGTGCACCACTAAAAAAAAAACTAAACAGAACCTGCAATGAGGCATCCATAAAAGGAAAACATCCAAGGCGGTGCTCTAAAGCCTTCACTTCACTTTCTTCTACCTTAATGCTTCTCCTCCTTCCAGAGGAATTCCCCTTATCCTTTATCACACATATAAAATGAGCCAATAGCAGTAAGTTCTGCTACTTAAAAATTAGGTCTGCCAGACTCTTTCCAAAGGGCAGACCAATCTGTGAAAAAGCTTTCCACAGATAGCTGCTGGCTGTGTGAAGAAAGCGTAACACTTCCAAGTTGAAACCTCCACAGCTGTTGGTCATGGAGACCGCACAGCCCCAGATTTGAGGTGCCTGCTGAAGCTCGGTACTTTTAACTTGGAAAATAAAAAAAGTCACACCCAAAACTATCAAGCAATTATTTAGTTTCCTGAAATAAAGGAAGTGGCTCAGACGTGGGTGAGGGCTGCCAAATTGCTTATACTTTTGTGGAGAGTAGGAGAGGAACCTGAATTAATGACCTAGTGGAAAAAAAAAAGTGCTTGTCCTGCAAAGGTTTTTCCTGGATTTTAGTTTGGGTTTTGTTTGGGTTTTTTTTCCATAAACAGGAATTGATACATTGTATCAGGCATGTTAGCACACCGTTTTTGATTGGGAAGTCAGCCCAGATATTAGAAGGTGTTATGTTATCAATCTTACACTGAAGATTTTAAGAAGCACACATCTGGCAACTAAAGATTTTACCTATTTCTACCTATTCCATGCAGGTAGAAATGAAAGACTAACAAATAGTGCTCAGCACACTGATGAATTTAATGACGTTTCAGCAGTGCAAACGTTCACAGAGACAGATCGAACTCAAATTTTATTGTTTATTGGTATCATATATTGGTATTTATGGCTACATTCACAAATACTATGACTCATCTATTTCTTACCAGGATAACCAGCTGGATACTGCCTTTTATCTCAGGGATTTACATAAAGAGAAGGCCTTTGTGCAAGCTCTAGATATTCCTAAATTTTTGTTTGTTTTACATGTAGTTTAATGCTCTTAAAAGTGGCTTGTTGATTTCAAGAAAGTGTGGATGTTTTATAGGATGTCTGTGCTTGTGGTGGAAGTCAGACAACCTCAAAATTTCTCCTGCTAGGTCTTCAAAATCACTAGGTACAATGGGCTCCTGGAGAATAATAGTAATAATAATAATAGTAATAACAAAACAAGTCCCAAAGCCCACCCAACACTTACTAACAAGTGCCTAAAAATTGTTCTTGCCATAAAATGAAATCCTACAACACCTTTTTCTGAATATTGCTCCTCCATTAACAAACTCCTCCCCAGAAGACTGCCCAGTCACCCATAGCTATGAGGCAGAGTAATCTACACAGCAAAGATGAAGTATAATGGTTCCGTGACCCTGACGGGAGAATCAGTCTCTGTGCCAAACTACATGGTGAAAACAAGGTCTGTGAGGTTGAGCGCTTGATACTACCAAGTGAGACTGTTAATTGGTCTAAGTGTACTAGAGAGGAGTTAAAACTGATCATTTCTTTGAGACTCTTCTGTTTAGTACAAGTATGTAGAGAGAAACTGGCTTGAGCTAGGCTACTGTGTGTGGCCACAAAATAACTATTACTTGAAATAAAATACTGCTACCCCTCGTTCTGTCTTCCATCCCTCACTGTTAGCTAACACATCGACCGACTGTGGAGGTGGCTGAGAGAACAGACAGTAATCTGCCCTTTCTGGAGAAAAGGGAGCGATAGGAAGTCTCAGAAAGACTTATAAAATGGAAAGTAGGACAGCAGATTAAAAAAAAAAAAGACACGAAAAGCAAGAGATTTTGTTCTTTTCCTCTACAGTACAACATTCACTTGTTTTCTTATAATATCCAACACTACCAACCAGATTTATTCAGTGCTGCCTCTCTTCAGAGACTTTGAAGGACCGGAGAACTAAAGCTCATGATCTAAATGCTCTTCTTAGCTAGTTATCAACTAAAGCCAGATCATTTTCTTACTTACATCAGTATAAACCTGGAGTCAAAATAGTGACATGATAGAAACATTCATAAATTCAGTGTATGTGAAAAGAGGTTTCAGCCCTGCATATAATTTGCTGCCATTTCAGAATATGTTTCAAGCCACTTTTTAGGGTGAACATCACTTCAGAGAAAAGCTTTTGCGCCTGACATCAACTAACCTAAATTACATTAACTAGCAAAACTGATGGAAGGTACATATGTAGTTTTTCAATAAAATATTTTCTTAAACATAGATCTGGTTTTGTCTTTATGTAAAGTATTACCTCAAAATGAATTGCTTTTCTTGCTACTCACATTATCTGTCCTATCTAGCATGTTTTGCAAGATCAACCTCTTGAGCTCTTTCTTTCTCTTATAAAATAAAAATAAAAGCCAAGAGACAAACTCACCTGCAGTGGGGTGATTAGACAACTGAACATTTTGAAGACTTTTTAAGAAACAGTTTTTATAAAATAAATAAATAACTTATATTTTATAACAGTAATATAAAATAAGTAATTCCCCAACTATAGAGATTAACTCACAATATTTATATTTTTTTACTAACCCCACTGCAGCAAAAAATCAAAATTTGAGGAACTGTAAGAGATTCTGAGATCAGGGAGTGGCTAAAATGGATGGGAAGATTTTTTTCTTGAAGGATTTAAACACAGAAAACAATGTACTGCATCGTGAGATGAAACCAAAGTCTATATTGACCAGGTTCACAGAAGAGATCAAATGTATTCTTTATCAAATAAAATTACAAATCTTTCTTTTTTTTTTTTTTTTAATGGTTCATATAACTCTCAGTATGACCATGCGGAAGACATTTTAGCCTTGTACATTATGCGTCAATCTTCCTGATTTAGATTCTGACACCACTGCATATAATTGTATTCTAGTTTCTGAACAAAGACGATGTTTCTCCGCTTTGCAAAACTTTTGATTTGTTTTACTTCTACAGAGGACATTAAGGGATCAAAATGAGAGAAAGAAATATCATTTGCTACGTACCTTTGGCAAAATCATCCTGTGTCAGAAACACAACGCCAAATGCTAAGAGTTTAAGCCATAAAAACATGGTTATTTCTGGAAATCAGGCGTGTCCTTATGAAACAGCATGTGTCTCTCTCTGGAAAGCAAAATAAGTGTTATCTGTCTGCAAAAGAATTTCCCAGCAAAACTTGAACCAAAAAGGAGAATAACTAGGCACATACATTGCACTGCCTGCTTATCTGTGAAGAAGTTGCTTCCTCTGCTACACCAAACTAACCACTCACAAACTCTCTATGCAGTTTAGTGATGTCAGAGAAACTTACTTCTTCAAAAAAAAAATTCTTTCAGTTTCCAGGAAGTCAAGAGGGTATTTCTTACATAGCTGCAGTAAGGCTCAGCTTCCTTAATTCAAACAAAATAGATTATTTTCAGCCATTTCTTTCTATGGAGGAGCTAAATGAGACAACTTTTCAAAGGACTGGAGTTAACAAACAGTCATTCTTTCTCTTCATATTCACCTTTCTATTGCATACATTCACTGAGTCCCTTCTAAGTTATGGATGCTTCTTGAGAATTCTCTTGAGAGAAAGAGAAACCCAAACCATCAGTCAACAAAACCCTCATACTGGCAAGAAGACCTTCATAAAAAGATGCATCCTCAAGTGAAGTGACCGCTGATTAAATGAAAACCCTTCAAACATGGAATATATTTCTGAATCTTTCCACAAGGATGCAATTCTAGGTATGACAGTATTACACAACAAAAGGGCAGAAGCAGTCTGTTTTCTCTAATGTTCAGTGCCTAATTAGATAGCTCAATGCAATTCTTTACCAACTCTCCTGGAGTTGATGCAAGGTACACCAAAAACTTTTTCCCTCACTGCATGCACTAAGATAGTACTCAACAACGTGGTAACAAATGCCCATTATACAGTAGATTACAAAAGGAATAAATGTTGGGATTGCTTCTCTTAGTGGAGGTTTCAAAGGTTTTAAAAGAACCAGCAGAATCCTGTCACAAAACAGATAAAGAAGGGGAAAGAATATATTTGTGCTTATTCATAAGTGTTTCAGAGACTTCCTAAGCATCACACAGGAAAAATTTGCACAAATTCACATAATAATTCACAGATGACACGAGTGAATCAAACTCCTCGTGAGATTAAATCCAGCTTCTACATGTCCAACTTTCAGTCAAGTCTTATAACACAGGCCAAAATCTTAGCTTCCATTAAGCAGTATGCCTCTATATGAACTAACTGTAATAATAATTATATTGTAAATGTGTTCAGAACAAAATTGACATAGTGATATCACTCTGACACTCCAGAGACTCCAGCTTTGATAAACAATTACTTCATCAAGCTGAAGTTGTCGTAAATTGAAATTGGACTATAGCCATACATTGTCTGCAGCACTGAGGTCTTAGTCATAGAATCATAGAATAGAATCATAGAATCACTTTGATTGGAAAAGACCTTTGAGATCATCGAGTCCAACCGTTAACCTAACCCTG